TTTTTTAATTTCATGTTCAATTTCTCACTTCGAATGCACTCACATGACTGTAGGATCCAATCACTTTTCGTACTGCGCTCTGACTTTTCAGTGGCTAAGAGACATCATGTGACTGACGCTACACCCTCCTGCCTACTGCGCTCCGTACTCAAATAGACTATTACGTCAGACTTACTACAGTCATGTGCCTCTTGGCAACTCTTCAAGAGCTGGAAACAGCGTGCTACCCCAGCAATAATTGTTCGGATCGGATCAACTCAGATACAGAGAAGACGCGAAGGAGGAAGGTTCACAAACGTCAGAAGAAAGGCCTTCACAGTAATAAATAGCTTAAAGCCCCTGCTGAACAAATATTCTAGATTAGACCTACGCAGAAAATGGCTTGTTTACATCATGAACATAAGGCCGATTATAACATGTATCACCCGCCTGGAATACGGCCACCAAGAATGACTTACATAAGCTGCAGCTACTGCAAAATAAGATTCTTAGACTGATCACAAATGCTCACTATTTTGTAAGTAATGCCATGTTACATAAGGACCTGAAGTTAAGTACCACAGAAAAACATCTTCATTAGCTGAATAGAAGTTTTTACCAGAAGGCCATTAACTATGCACATGTGTGAAATCTGAACACGCTCAATTATGTGATTTTGGAGAAGGACTGTAATATTAGACCATTAGTGGCCCATATTATTTTCTTTTTTTTCTTTTTTTTTTTTCGTATTTGCTTTCCTTTCTCACACAGAATTATGACGGTATACTCACCACGTTTTGTCTGTTCATGTTTGCTGGATTTTCGACCGCGCGATGTTCCAGTCCCCTTTCACCTACCTACGGGTTTAATGTACTCACAGTCTAACCTGATGCGCCCATGTGGCAATAAATTGCTTGAGCCAGAGAAATCTCACTTTGTGCGGTATTCCAGCGATACCTAATCAGTCAGTCAGTCAGGAGGAAGGACGCTGAGCTGATTATCGCCAATGCTTATAAATAATGCCATAAGAATATTCAGAATGCCATTGCTTATGCCTCTGATTTCTGACTGGACTCACAATTATCGACTGTGCTTATCCGGCTGCCTTAGTGGACTTTTTAGCTGCCTCTGAACTTTATCTCTGTATTTCTTCAAATGACAGGATGCCTTAAATAGACCATATGCCTTATGCTTCGACCCGCGTTTGCTAATGCAAAGCGCAAATATTTGCGCTTTGCATTAGGTTCATTTGCACTTTTGCAGCTGAGGCTGATGGTTCGGTAAAAAACCATCGAAACTAGCCCTGTGAAATTTGAAAATGTAACGCTGATTTTTGTTGTTTGACTTCTGAATTAGTGTTTGTTTGGCATGTTATTGTATCTTAAATACAGATATCAGTGTATGTGGGTAGAACAAAAACTGTTGTTCTATCAATGTACAAAACTTCAACAGCAAAAACAACTGCAAATCTAGGATGGAAAATTACTGAATTCATTATTTCCACCTATTTGCAACATCATTGTACATCCATTGCTGATGTGATGTAAACAGGCACTTTGACACTCATTTGGCTACTGACATTTCATTAAGCGAAAAACACTGGATTTTCCAAGGGAAAGTGGCTCCTCTTTACATTATGCATGCAGGAAATCAAAAAGTAATGAAAACTTATCAGATCTGAGAAAAGCCAAACACTAAGCTGATGTGCATTCAAGAACCACTGTCTTGCTGCCATTTCCGTCAGAATACTATAGCAAGTTGACACAAATAAAGGAGTTAGTGTCTTTAATTTATTTAAAATTTTAGGCTATGCAAAAATAATTTACAAGATAGTGTTTGTTGGTTCTCATTGAAGAAGGGTAAGAATGAGAAAAAAAAAAAAAAAGGTGTACAAAGTCTGCGAAAGTTCCTGCGCATTAAAGTTCTCAAGAGGGTTTCTTAGTGCAGGGTAAAGTTCTTATGTAAGGAAAACCGCCCTATTGCCTCTCTTGACCTCAGCTGGCCATTCCAAGTAACTAGTTCTCAAATTAAACAGCAGAAATACCAGCTACTTGTTATTCCATTCAGGGAAGGCTAAACTGGCAGAGCAAACAGGAAATAAAAAAAAAAAAAAAAAAAAACTGGCAGAGCAAACAGGGGAAAAAAAAAAAAAAAATCTGCTCTTGGCAGAGCTGAAAACACAAGAGAGACAGCTTCTCTCTTTTTCACTAACTTTTCCTCCATAGCTGCATTCACCGTTTTTGTTCAAAATTTCCTGAGCATGTCGGGAAGACTCTGAATTCTCATTCATCTGAAACTTTCAGAAGGTCTCTCAATTTGTAGAAGCATCCTGAATGTTTGCAGATATGATGGTAAAAGGCCTGGGAAAATTTCCACAAGAGTTCTCAGGCTTCGACTTGGAGATGTGATTTGGGATCTCTGCATCTAGGTGTTGGTGAGAGGCAGTTGATACATAACAATACACCAACAACCAGATGTAGGCAAATTTTGAGCGAATGATTCTCATATTCTAGTTCTTCTCATTAACAAAACAATGTTCTCCTTTGGATCACAGTGAAAGAAAAGACTTGAGAGAGCTATACCATTACAGCTGACATTCAGCTTTCCCAAGAATTTCGAAGTGGTCATTAGAAAATAACATTTTCAAGAATTTCAGGGTGTTGTTAGAAAACAGCTAAAGACATCATGATATCGACAAGCTAGATAATACACCAAATTAAATTTATGAAATCTAAATACTGATGGTAATGTGTTTCATTCAACCCACACAAAATATTAAAAGCTGCAATAAGTGATATCATACAATTTTAGCTTATCTTTCAGGTGTTTCAAAACTTAGAACCTACATTCTATTGAATATATCTAAATATGCATTATCTAGAGAAAGTAGACATAATTATTTAATGGCAATTTTATTGATTATTGGCTTGCATTTTTAATTACTACTTGAAGATGTTGATCAAACGAATAAAACCTCTCAAACTCATTCATAAAAACTAATCTAATTTGTAATGTTCGTGTAATAATTACAATAATTAATATAAAATATGAATATTTCTCTCATTCATTTTTCTTAATTTGTTTAGCTTTTATAATTGTTTTATCAATACACACAATATATTTTCAGACAGATATTATTACCTGGTAGCCTTAGTACAGGATTTGTTAAAATCACACAAAAAAGTTTCAAAGTAACCCCAACAAAGTACACACAACTCCAAAATAATTTATTTTTGAAACAAAATTCACGTACAAAAATTAAAAACAGTTGTAAAGTATTTAAAATACATAGAAAATATGTACAAATAGCTTCAATATTATAATAAAAACACATATTCAGATATACTAATAACATAATAAAAAGTTACTAATAACGTTGCTAAATACAAAAATTTGCTTGTTGCACTTTTTTCAATTTCAACTCGTATCTAAGCATTGACGTCAGCATGGGCTGTTGCAGGCCTCCATGCTGCTGAAATCTTTGCATTGCAACTTCATTAGAAACTTTAGTTGCAATATTAGAAATCGTTAAATCATCACCATACTGTAACATGTTCTTCTTCAACGATGATACAAACCAGCTCTCTTCATTAGGAATACGGAAACTGACATATCTAAATTCACAAATAAAAATTAAAACATAATCAAAAACAAGACATCTGAACCTGAGTTGAATTTAGTCAGACAGTTGACAAATATAAGATCATGAATGATACGATGTAATAGTGTAAAAAGAAAAAATTATTAACAGCTTGGTTTTGATAGTGGTAAACAAAGTTAATAATCATTAAAGAATTACAGAATCATAATTGAAACACTAATCACCTTGAATGCATATCAATTCTCGCAGACACAGCCTTAAAATACTTGTTTTTAATGACCTATTATGTTAAATGGTTTTTACATTGCACCGACATTACCTCTCTTCCCTCCTATCCAAACGGTTCAGTTTTTAATGAAACAAACACTGAATATGCAAAGTACTCAAATATCAAAAGCAGCTTTTAAAACAATACTGGATACCTCTGACTAGTGGCTTTATTTTCTACCATTATAAACTAATAAACAGCTATGTATGCTTCATGTGGCAGATTTCATCAAAAATCATATGCTGTGTTGCTAAATCTTTATATACAGTACAAAATCCGTAATCTGGACCTCCATTATGCGGAATGATCTATAATGCAGACCTCAAAGCCACAAACTTATGCATGCATGTAAAGCGTTTACCCATGCGCGCTTCCGATAGTGAAGAAAGTAACAGAGAACGTTATTGAAAATGAAAAAATTTTGATTGACAAGTTAGTCGGTATTGTCGACACAGCAATTATGGGACTTAAACAGTGGAACTTTGTAACTGAACAAGAAATTATGTCTGTTTATAGAATTAAAGAGAAAGGATTAAAAAACGAAGCAACTTAAACAACTTACATTGAATGAAATGTTTACTAACGTAAAAAAATAAATATTAAGCTTTTTTTTTTTTTTTGTAAATTTTGATACCCTTTAGATCATAATTGCTTTTTATTTCATAAATTACGGTTTCATATTTTTAATTGTATAATTTCTGCATGCCATCTTACCAGATTTACATGGATGATCTATAATCCAGAATTGCCGAAGTCCCGATGAGTCCGGATTACGGACTTTGTACTGTATGAGTATGACAACCTGAACCATAATAAACAGGCAGTAAAAACATTTACAAGATTTTTTTTTCTTGTTGATAAAAACAAAAGACAATGAAGATAACCTAGCCAATTAAAAAATGGATAATGAAAAAAATCACATCAGGTATTCGTTAACAGAAATAAGCAGCTCCATACAAATCATTTTAACATCCTATAAGGCCTAAATGGAAAGCTTTGAAATTGCATCACTTTTTCTTTCCAATACTAGTCATGGCAATCATTTACTGAATTCTGTAACAGCTACACATAGATACGTTCAAACCTATAGTTTGATAGCCATAACCTTTAGCATTTGGTCACAACAAGAGGAGATACTAAGCAAGAAATGAATTGTTGTGAACATCACAGAAAAATCTTTGTATGGATTGTATGTAAAATTGGTAAAAATGTACTGTACACTTTACCTGTTAAGAGAGCAGCAAAATATGTTTATGAAATGCAGAAATATTTAAAGTGATTCACATTAATCAGCTAATGAAAGAAATTATGTGACATTTTTACTTAATACAATTATTTAAATATATTCAAGCTCTGCAGGGTAAAAAGGTCATTTTAAATTTATAGTTTCAATATCGCCAAAATTTGTAATTTATTAATGGAGAAATAATGGTGAGCAAGAATGCGTGTTTTATACAGCTCAATATAAATTTACTGTATTTCCAGAACCCCACTTTCAATCCACTGAATTTTTGTACCCATAACTATTCATTCAGTATACATATTAAGACAAAAATTGCTAATTTAAAAACTAAGAACATGGTCAAAAACTGTGTTGATGTACAAAAGAAATTTATTTAAAATGAAACATACTGTTATGCAAGAAAATAACCGAATGGGCAAATATCCTATAAGTATAGTACTAAAACGGTTTTTCTTTTATCTAATTGACAAATCTAATTATTCAGTTCTTTTTCGGGAAAAATGCAATTAAGCTAAAATAAGAACTCAAGATTTCTAATAGAGTTTAGAAATTTTGGTAAATTCTAAAGAAATAAAGCAAAATTACATTGCTTTTGGAGCAGTAGTACTCATTAGTATTTGCAATGTAATATGCTTAGAAAATGTCCATATGATCCCTTTCGATCATATACAATATGTTTGGCATTTGCAGGCACACTACCCTTTATCAATTTCATAAACATAACAAAATTTAACTTTTTACTCATTCCTCTGGTCTCTGCATTTACATTTAGGAAAATGTCACAGTTATTATGACAAATAAATAACAGAAAGTTTTAACTCCTGTCAGACAAAAATTGACAAAAGGAGCAAATATATTTTTTGCACTCTAAAAGTTTTCATACTCAAAATTTATTTAATGTATACAATGAATGCACATGAATCTTTTTAATTAGGTTATACACTGGCTTCTAAATGCTAAGCACGTGATAGTTAAATCAATAAAAATGGAAAAGTTAAGCCTTGATTAACACTGAATTGTATATAAAGACAGCAGTTGTATTTATGGATGAAACAAAACATTATGCGCAAAGATGCAAAAATATTTAATTTTCGTAAATTATCTGATGGAATCACATTTGTCACATGAACAAACAAATTTATGTTTAAAGTAAAAAAAAAAAAAAAAAAAAAAAAAACTAACATAATTAGGTATGTGACCGGCCTCAACCTTCACATTAACTTTATAGCCACTACCCTTGCTTTCAATGAGGTGATCAACCATCACAGATGCTAGCAATGACAATTCCTCCATTGCAATGGTCTCCAACTGTCTGAGATGGGCTGATGGAAGCTAACAGACAGCACGTCTAATGTGACTGAGGTCAGGGAATATGGCAGCCACTCCATACAAGAAATATACCCCCTTTCAAGATACTTATTAATGATGTTTGGCTCAATGGGAATCGACATAATCATTCATAAAGAAAACAGCAGGAACAACCGTTGCAGCATAATGCCTCACAATGGGGTGCAGGACTTCATCTTGGTACTGTGCAGAGCCATCTTCAAAAATATATAGCTGAGTCAATATCCCATGAAAATTCCAGACCACACCATGATACTGACACCTCTGAATGTGTGTTTCATCATGTTCATGGCTTGATTCTATATGCCTTGTTTTCTTCGGAATCTTACACACTTATCATCCGAGTCCAGGGATAATTCATGAACAGGACAGTATACCACTTTAAAATAGTCCAAATGACATGTTGACAACACCAATTTAACCTTGCCCAAGGGTACACTTGGTACTTGGACATACACTACCTTCATGATAAGCTTATGCAGTAAAGTACTAGTAGATATTGCCAAATCAAATAATGCTCCAACCATATATGTAAGAGTTCTGGAGGTCGTTCATTGATTCTGCTTAGTTACTGCAGCAATATACAGTACAAAGTCCGTAATCCGGACTGGTCGGGATTTCAGTGATTTCGGATTAGGAGTTTTTCTGGATTATAGATCATCAATTTAAATCTGGTAAGATGGCATGCAGAAATTATACAACTCAATATATGAAATCGTAATTTATGAAATAAAGAACAATTATGATCTAAAGGGTATCTAAATTTACAAAAAAAAAAAAAGTTTAATATTTATTTGTTTACTTTATTAAACTAAGATGCTTTCACAAAAAAATCAAAAATTTCCCTTTTCTTGTGTCATATATAGTGGACTGATAGACTTCGAGACGGATACATCTTTATCTATTTTTTGCAGCAATTCCACTTTTTGTTTAATGGACATCGAAACATGCTTTCGCTTTGTAGATTCTTTGGCAGCTCCAGAATTGGAAACTCTTTTTGACATAATCAAAAGTTCAAGCTTAATTTTTATAAAATTGTTCTAACAGTCTGCAAAAAATAATAAGCCGTATCCAATTAGAAGATTAAGGAACAGCACAATCTGCAACATTAACTGAAATGCCTTAGATAATTTTAGCCTACCTTATACCGTCCATTATACATTAAACACATATTAACTGAAATGCCTTAGATAATTTTAGCCTACCTTATACCGTAAATCATACATTTAACACATTATGCGCATGCATAAACCCACATAAAGTTTGTAGTTTTGAGGTCCGGATTATAGATCATTCCGGATTATGGACGTCCAGATTACAGGCTTTGTACTGTACTGATCAGAAGGAGTGATAAACCTTGCTTGACAGGGCCGTATCTAAAGACAACTGTTTGACTTGTTTGACTGTCTCCACATTTGACAAATTACAAAATGATCAACATATACACACAAAAACAGGACATATTTGACTGTCTTGCTTCAATGCATCCCACAGTACACCAGTAATCACTATTTATCATTCACTTCCTTTTAGCATAGAAGCATAAATATCATCAAAAATTATTAAAAAAAGTTATAAATACTTCATACCAGAGTTTAAATGAACCTCTTTAAACTCTTCAGATTGCTGACATTTTCAACAACAACCTAATTAGCATATGTTCAAATAATCAATCATGATTGGCTGTAACATACAATATTTGCATACTGATATACTGATACCCACATGCACAGAGATTTTCCCACACTCAAATTCAACTATGCTTTCGAAAGTTGCTAATTTGCATTGCATGCTTAACTTCTGTGCAGACAATTGAAGCCAGTGTAAATGTATAAGTGCACGCATTCAAAATTTACATAGCCATTTCTCACATCTTTGCACCTTCCAAAGTTATTCCAAAAGGATATAAGCTCATTACACGTACATGTGATTGAAAGTTTCTGTTTGAAGACTGCATTTCAACAGGTTTATTCTATTTTGAAGAAACTCTTGCTGGAGTTAAGGCAATTTCTACATAGACAAGGCATATTAAAGATACACGCTGGTCTGCTAGTTGCTGCATAAATATGATACAGCCTTTTCAATTAGAAATTGACTGCTTTCTGAGATTCTGTAAGTGGCCTGAAGATGACATAATCATATAGCATGAGATCGTGATTGAAGACAAAAGGTGTTTTATTTAACCCCTTTGTGCCGACTGTCACATCTACATGCCAGCAACAAACACACTCACTTCCTGGCCGACACGCAGGCGTGCCAGAGCGTTTTCCCGTTCAGCCCCGACTGTCACGTATTTGTGCCAGTGTCCTGGAACGTTTTAAAAACTATAATTTCTGCCACAAGATGGCACTGTATATCCATATGGTTTCAGATACATGTACATTAAACCTTTTACTCGAAATGAGAGAAGCATGACTCACATACACATATTTTTGATTATATAAACAAACGGGGAAATAAATGTTTCCGAATGGCGTGATTTATGATGTCTCTTTAAATTCTCATGTGGCAGTTGTTTATTGTAAGTAGAGAAGTTTTATTTTCGCTAAAGCGTTGGGTATTTTGGTTTGCAGTTCAGTTTTTAGAAAATAATTAGATCTTGTTAGACGTGAATTCTTTCTGTTTTTACCGTTGCAATCTCGAAGCGTCGAAAATGTTTAACAGAGCACGAAATAGCAGAAATGATGCAAAATATTTCAGATATTGATTCTGAAACAGATTCTGATAGTAGTGATAGTGATACTACGATATATCCTGATCATAAAGAATCTGGCGAATCTAAAGATGATGAGGACATTTCGGACATCTGTATGCCGAGTATGTCGAAAGCAAGTACTTCTCCAGGGTCATCCACAATAGAAAATTTTTAAAAATCCTCCAAAATGGCAAATGAGTTATTAAGAGTGCAAATGTACAACTGTGTGTAGATCCCTATTTTTAAATTGTTCATACGAAAAGAGAATTTTAAGTAATATATTTAGTTTTCAGATGTATAATGTTAAAAGTCATAAAATGGTGTGTAATGAAAATAAAATGTGTAAAATATGCATTTAAACAAGAAATAAGGTAATTAAAGTACATATAAAAATATCTATAAAGCATAAGCCGTTTAAATACTCTATAGAGCATTATTAAACAATGCGTTGATACTTCGGAAATTTCATGGGTTTAGGCTTAATAGCAAAAAAGCCCCCGGCCCTGGACAGACGCTCGCATAAGACACTGCCGGCCTCCGCGATAAGCGCACATTTGTGCTACCCGGTGCGAAGGGGTTAAGAGCATCCAACTTGTGCTTTATGACCTTGTCAACATGACATACAACACTGATGTGTAGCAGAAAGATATCTTTATGGATGTTGGCAGGATATTCTTGCCCTAACCGCACTTTCTAACTACTTATGGATATTACAAATTGAGATAGGTTACATGAAGTTGTATGACTGAGAAACAATTCATGAACTGGGGAACTCCAATGCCTTCATAAAGTCATCCAATTCTTAAACAGATAAATTCTTAGTACTGTATTATCTTGTAAATTAAAACTACATAAAAACCTTTCTATATGTGAAAGATCTCAAAATGAAAGCACATTTAGTTAGTAGAATCAACAATAAGTACGCAACATGCTCTGCATACAAAAAACAGGAACTATTTCAATTTTAGCAATTTTCACTTAAAAAAAAAAAATCACTTTTTTTCAACTAAAATAAGCATCAATGAGTTTGTGAGAATAACCAAAAGAAGAATGTTAAAAGATGACTACAATAAATTCTGCAGTTAAATAAAACTCACCCTTTCACCGCAGAATTAAGAATTAATGTATCAGTAAAATCTGGAAGACCAGCTTTAGTTGAATCCTCATTTAGTAACTGGATCAAAGTTTTAGACTCATGCAAATCAGCAGTAGACTCAAGAGTTTTTTTTTTACAGGAGCTAACTAAAAGAAAAAAAAAATATTAACACACTGAAGAGAGAAATTAAGAAATTTCTTGTAGCAAATCAGATTGAACTTATAGTGAAAAATCTGGTCCGAGTTTTTACAATGTTACAAAAATTTTAACATTAATAGTAGTTTATATTTGACACATATACAATGTACTTTTTTAGACAAATAAGACTAATGTAGAGTTTTCCTTATTTTGCATAAAAATTTATTTAAGGTTGATTCCGTTATCTGAACTTTTCAACTTCTCCCATTCTCTTGCCAGGATGTAAATTTAAAGTTAAGTGAAGTGCATATTTAAACGGGCGAATCTCTGAATTTATTCAGAGCGTGTTTTTGCTAGCCAGCGTGCGTTTCATTGTTGTTTCACCATTACACTAGTAGGTCTCTAGGCCATTTCGGATTTATCATCACACATGTTAGGTTTTTGTGAGTCCACCTGTTAGGTGTAACTTACATGCTATCCAGCCCTACTTATTTTAGATCTTGACTTGAATTATAATCTACGTTTTTAGTTTCAACATCAAGTTTGATGGTGTCTTTGTAATGCACAAAGAGTGTGCTTTTCTGTTAACTATCTTGAATTAATAAAGGGTTATTTTCACCCTTCTTCTGTGCTGGTAGTATTCATGCCTGTGCGAGAATTTGCCGGGTTCATTGTAGGATCTCACGGACGTAGCCAGCTCAAATGGCGGGGGGTGCTTGTTATGACTCCTATGGCTGTACTGTTCTACGTATTACAGCATCTTCAAGTATATACCAATTATTACGTGACGAATATATTGTGTTAATGGCAGTTATCTAATTATAAATAATAATTATATTATGAATCTTATTAATAAAATTATGTAACATATTTATAGATATATTGCATTTAATTATCGTATTTATAATTATTACCTTACAATCATAATAAATGCGTAACTCAATATTTCTGTTTATAAATTAAACATTATTATTAAAATATTAAAAGAATTATAAAATTCATTTTATTTTGGTTACATAATACAACTATAAAGATAAATAAATATATAAAATCCATATTTCTGTTGTATATAATAAAGATATTGAATTAAATACATAAAAGTTGTAAATACATTATTTATTCTGGAAATTAAATTAAATTGGAAATAAAAAAAAAAAAAAAAAAAAAAAAAAAAAAAAAAAAAAAAAGAAGGCAAAAATTTTTCTGGCCTTCCACTTTGGTTCGGCATTTAAAATATTCCCGAATTCCACTTTCCGTGACTGTAAACTGGCAAATACATATATCAATAATTTTGTCAATTGATATTCCCTTGGTATAATTAATGTTCCTTAATATCAAAGAATTCCTGCGCTCTTCGCTTATAGTACCTCTATTATAACTTTCTAACCTTTTCAAAGCACCTATCAGAACGCTAACATTCGCAAGATATTATCAGCAGTATAGCTGCTATGTGCAAAAGCACATTAGTATTTGGTACAAAGATTTTATTCAAAGCTTTTAAAACCAAAACTGGTGTGCCTGGGAGCTTTGTTTTGGGAATAGACATAAAATGCCGTTGCCAATGTTTCGTCTCTTCTTTTAGAAGTTTTGGAGAGGGTAAATCACCTTCTAAGGCATTTCTCCCGTCTTCTTAGCATGCCTTTGTGGTGTAATGGTCAGCATGCTCGGAGCGTATTCAAGAGGACAGTGATTCGAGTCGCGGTGAGGGCATGGCTCATTTTTTATCTCTCCTGCTTTAAAAAAATATCTAATGTCTCTATAGTGGCGCCTGAACTAAAAGGTGGTGAATGATGATTCTTCACTACCAGAATTTGGCAACTGGGTCCCCAAAACCTCAGTCGCCCTTTAAAAGGAAGAATATATAAGGTATTTCACCTGCCTTCTTAGCAAGCCTTCGCGGTGTAGTGGTCAGCACGCTCGACGCGAATTCGAAAGGTCCGTGGTTTGAGTCCCGGCGAGGGCATCGCTCCTTTTTCACATGACTCCTGCATAAAAAAAACCCCAATGACTCTACAATCTTCAACTCATTTACCGCAATTTCATTTACACGATCAGCGCAAACTGATGGCTGTATGCAAAACAGGGATGATGCAGTCTTTTCTAAACTTGAAAATTGAGATTTTAAATGGAAATTGAGATGGCCAAGTAAAGGTATTGCTAAAATAGTTTTATAATAATTAAACACAGAATCACAATGAGCATTATATCGATAGATTTGCTTTAGAATGATGCATGGCAGGTAATTAAAAATTGAAAAATTTTACCACTTATCAAAATTTTCAGTTTCGATAAATACATTTAAATACACAATAGCACACACTGCATGCAATTTTGAATGCATTAAAAATTTATTTTATCATTATAATTATAGCTATTATTATAATAGCTATAATTATATAATAGTCAGGATTTTCAAATGAGGGGGGATATTGCATAATATTTTCCACACAGAAATGCTTCCGGTAGAAAATGTTCATTAGAAAATGTACAAGTGTTTGGAGAAAAGAAACCCAATTTTTTTGCACTTTTTTCTAATTTATGCTTTCTTTTTTCAGGGCGTCTCATATTAAGTGATTTGCATTACCAGTTAAAGCATTATTTCTAGTAACACAACACATAGCAAAATTTGCTGGAAAAATATAGACTTTAGATCTGATCCGTTACTTTTCACTTTCTCATGAACAAATTGGCCGGATCTCTCATAGTTTATTCCCAAGGGCTAATTGGACCTCGTACAGTGATTCCCGCAATTTAGTAAAATGCCTCGGTTCTATTCGTCGACATGCCTAGCTTGTAGGAATCCTCACTGTGTAATTCTAAGTTGCTGTTGGAAGTGAAGAAACTTAAGAACTGATAAGCGAACGACCACTTCAGTTATTGTGACAGGAAACAACAAGATAGAAGGGTAAAACAACCCTTTATTATTCCAACTAAAGTTTAACAAAACTCCGTCTTGGAGTAGTACAATAAAGCGACAATTGGGCTTGAACTTAAGAAACTAAGAATTAAACTAACTAATATTTAACTAAAGAGATATAGCTGAAGCTATCAAGATTCTAACAGAGTTGGCCCCTTAACGTTAATCGACTGTGAAGCTATCAAAGGCCTAAAGTACGGCCGAGCGTAATAACAGCTTACGAGAGAGTAGCCTAAAAAGGCGGACGCGTGGTATCCATAATACCTGGTATCTCTCTCACTAAGACCGAAGATCTTTGCGGTTAAATACCGCTCTTCCTCATTATGTATTCATACGTGATTTTAAAACTACGTTCTGGCCGGAAGTGGTAAGTTGAAGTTAAGAATTGATAGGAAAGGAAGTTTAACTCAAAATTTAACTGTTAATAAAATTAATATAATCCTTACAAGCTTTAAAACTGGGAAAAAAAAAAAAAAAAAAAAAAAAAAAAAAAAGCAGTTTTAAGAGTTTTGCAAAAATTGATGTTCTACACTATTGAATTTAAAAATTAATAGCTATGGTTTTAAAATTTTAGGCGATGCCTGTAATTATGTGATGTAAACGAACCATACTTTCGCATTCCCTTCCGAGGATAACTGTGATACCCTTTAATATTAATATTTAATTGTTTATGTTATTTTTCTCTTTTGCATTACGATCAAAAAGTAAAATGCATTTGGTTTTGATAAATATGTTAGAACTATAGTATAGAACATCGATTTTTGAAAAATAAAGCTCATGCCAATAAAATTATTTCTCTTGAAAAGGGATGTTGCTGATTCGGGGTTTCAGCTTGATGTCGACGATGTATATGATCTTAAAATTACATCAAATTTTTATCATTATAATTAGTATTTCATATATGCTTGCTACTGTTTGTTGAAATCAGTATGGAAAAGCATACAAAAGTTATCTGTCTATGAGAAAGGATGCCATCCCATTTGTGGAGAACTTTCTAAGGGAAACAGGATCGTATTTACCTTATACACTAGAAAAACAATAAAAGCTCATTCAGCTCGTTCCCCGATATTCAAACCTATGTCGAACTAGCACCGTTCAGCAATCTTATACATTTTGCACACTAATGGGCTATGTACATTTTTCATTCTATTTCAATTCTCATTTTATACTTCTTTTTAATCAGTAATTATCTGATTATTTGTTCCAAACGCAGCTGAACACAAAATAAATCTGAAAGCTTTCAGATTTTATATTATGCCCAAAGGGGCTTGGTGTTTTTTTCTAATGTTTTGTGTGTTACCTTTATTTATTAAATATTGTGTTCTTCGCACTTAAACCACAAAATTCGATTCAACAGCAATACCCCAAATAAACTAAAAAGAGCATACCTTTCGAATTTCCGATGCACAGTCTCTCGCGCTAATCCCCCCCCGCGACAGTGTTGCCACTGCTTGTTTTGAAATGGATGAGTTTGTTAATCAAAAATTTGTTAAATTTTACAAAACAGGAAATAGATAATAAAACAAATTCCAAATTTGGGCTTTCAGATGCTCATATTCGAGTGAAGGACTATGCTATTCAAAATTTGATGCCTCTAGGTATCATTGTTTTTTCACAATGCAGCAAACATGCATACATTCATTCAGATTCTTCATTATTTAATTTTTTTAAATATAATGCAGGGCTCTAATATTTGCTGGCAACAGTTTGGAAAGTGAAACAACGTTTATACTAAACAAACGCAAAATACCAAAACGAAATTAATAGCCCTTCTGGGAAATTTGCCCCTTTGCGCTAATAATAAAATAAAATAAATTACTTGGCAGTGAATGACCTATCTGCATATGTAACGGCTACCCTATTAAATCATTTTAAATAACAATAATTTAAATTGCTAGATGACTAATAAAATAAAATTCATTGCACTGAATTCAACAAAGTTCACATGCTCTCTACATTATTCCAAGAAAATTAATATTTATGCTATACTTATTGACTTCTGAATTTCGAAATTGATGTAAAAAACAATCACTCAAAATAATTTTACTATCTTTCCTTCCCTCTTTTGTGCAATATTTAGATATTATTATA